GTAACCTTTCCACTCTTTTTTTATTGTGGTAAAATATACCTAACATAAAATTTAATATTTTAACAATCTTTTGTTTTTTCCTAGAGACAGGCTCTTGCTCTGTCTCCCAGGCTGGACTGTAGTGGTGTGATCATAGCTCACTGCAACCTCCAATCCCCGGGCTCACACCGTCCTCCTGCCTCAGCCTCCCGAGTAGCTGGGACTACAGGCGCACGCCACCGCAACCAGCTAATTTTCAAAGTTTTTATAGAGACGGGGTCTTGCTCTGTTGCCCAGGCTGGTGTTGAACTCCTGGCCTCAAGTGATCCTCCCGCCTCAGCCTCCCAAAGTGCTGGGACTACAGGCGTGAGCCACTGTGCCCGGCCCAATAGTTTAGTTATACTTAAGCACATAGTTCAGTGGCATTAGCACGTCCACACTGTTGTGCAACCACCACCACCGTCCATCTCCAGAACTTTTTCATCTTTCCTCACTGGAACTGCAACCCCACTAAACAGCAACTCCTCATTCTCCCTCCCCAGCCCCTGGTAACGGCCACTCTACTCTGTCCCCGTGCACTTGTCTATTCTAGGCACCGCATGTGAGTGGGATCACATGGTATTTGCCTTTTTTGTGCCTGGCTTATTTCACTCAGCATGGCGTCCTCCAGGTCCGTGCATTTGTAGCGTGTGTCAGAACCCCCTCCATCGTAAGTACAGACCCGTGCCGCCTGTCTGCTCATCCGTCCCGGACACTTGGGTTGCTTCTCCCTTTTGTCTGTTGTGAGTGATGCTGCTATGAATGTGGGTAAACAAATGCCTTTTGGAGTCCCTGCTGTCGATTCTTTTCGGCGTATACCCAGAAGTGGAATTGCTGGATCGTGTGGGAATTCTAATGTTAATTTTTTGCAGAATTGCCGCACCATTTTCCATAGTGGCTGCACCATTTTCCACTCCCGTCTATAGTGCACAAGGGCTCTGGTTCCCCACATCCTCACCAACGTTTGTTATTCTGTCGTTTTGTGTTCCGTTTTGATAATAGCCATCCTATTGAGTGGGAAGCGGTCCGAATCTACTCTTAAAACTGCCTACGATTTTAACAGTGCATATCCTAAAGTTTACTCAGCCAGCATCCTTACGCTTTTCCTGCTGCTGTTTCCAGCTGTTGGCAGCTGTAGTCCAGGCCGTGACAGGCATCTCCCTGCATAGGCGTTGTTGTGCGGTGTGTTTTATTTCCTACAGCCAATTCCAAACATCAGACACAAAGGGTGGACACTTTAAGGCCCCCAGAATGGAGTTCCCAATGGCTTGGGCATTTTGTCTTGGATGTGGCAGTTGCGGGATTATCTTAACAGTGCCTGTGGGTGGGGGACACTTCACGCTTCCTTCCATCCCCGCTTCTTAGACTAATGCGGGGGAAAGTCCTTTGGAGATGACCTTGTCTCTGTCTCACCCGACAGGCTGCAGGCCGAGGTGGACGAGGTCATCGGTTCTAAGAGGCACCTGGATTTTGAGGACCTGGGGAGACTGCAGTACCTGTCCCAGGTGCGGGAGTAGGAGGAAACTTCTGGGCAGATGCGGGTGATTCATCAAGTCAGGCCCCTTTAGTACGGTGGTTCTCAAACTTTGCTGCCTGTGAGAGTCGCTGGGAGATTTCAGACATCCCAAGGCCCAGGCTGCCCCGAGACCAAAGACATCGGAGTGGAGGGGCGGTCCCAATATGCAGCCGTGGTTGGAAACTGGCCCTTTGGTAAATGGTCCATATTTGCGCTTCCCAGCTAGGCAGGCTCAGGCTTCCCTTCCTGCAGGGAGCCAGGCCCAGCAGCCCCCTAAGCACCGTGGGAGGCCGCACCCCACCCGGAGAAACGTAGCTTTCTTCGGCCTGTGCTTCTCCGGGATGGCGGGAGCCCCTGGTTCCTGGTCTTGGCTCTGTCCCTGTGGCCTTGCTCAACTCCCTTCCCCTTCTGGGCCTCGGTTTCCCCATCAGTCACATGAGGAGCTGGACATGATGGTGGGGTGAATGTCCCCGGGGTCTGGGGCCCAGTCGGAGGTGAGCGTGTGCATTCGGCACTGGGGTGAGAGAGAGATGGGTCCAGGGCGTGCCGCCAGCACGTGCTGTGGGATCTCCTGACTGCTCTTCGTGTCTCCCTTGTGGCTCCTGTAGGTGCTCAAAGAGTCGCTGAGGCTGTACCCGCCGGCGTGGGGCACGTTTCGTCTGCTGGAAGAGGAGACCTTGATCGACGGCGTCAGAGTCCCTGGCAACACCCCGCTCTTGGTAAGTAGGGGCCCCGGGGTGGGCTGGCCTGCTTGCCCCAGGGTGGCCCGTTTGGGGCTCTCCGCTGAGGTCGGGGAGCCCGTGGCCCTGTTCTTGGCACTGTGCCAGCCCCCCCCCCCCACCGCCCGCTGCCCTGCGCTTCTCACTGCATCTCACTGACCGCGTGAGCTCTTCTCCCCCTTCACGCTGTCCCCTGTCTGGCAGAAGCTGCTAGCGGACAGCTCCGGGATGGAGCTCCCCATGTACAGCTGAGCACACTGAGGTTCAGAGAGGTCAGGTCACTTTCCAGGGGTCACACAGCTGGCAAGGGGCAGATGTGGAATGTGTCCGGTTTCACGTTTGACCCAAACTCGTTCTAGTTCTTTCTCTCCCCGCGTTTCACAGCCCCTTCTGCACTGTGGTCACTTTCTCCCCCACCTGCCTTTACACTTTGTGCCTTTGTCTGTTTGCTCATCCATCCATCCATTCATCCGTCCACTCAGGCACCCGTTCACGTGCAGTGACCCCCAACCCACCACCGCCCCCCCCAGCTCCCCCAGAGTAATCACAGGCCTGAATTTTGTATTTGCCCTGACCTCACCTGTGTGTGTGTGTGTGTGTGTGTGTGTGCACGCACCCACACGGTAATATGTGGTAAGACTTGCTTTTTGATTCAGTATAAAGACTATTAAGATTCGGTAGCTTTCTCTGTGAGATTCTAGGTCATTCACTGTTGCTTATCAATTCTGGAGCTGACAGGCCTTTGAGCGGTTTCCAGGTTGTCACTGTCACGAGCACCACAGCAGCCGCGAGCGTTTCTGTCCGCGCGTCCTGGCGCAACCCGCAGACGTGTTTCTCGGCATACCCAGGAGCAGGAGGGCTGGGCTGTAGGACACAACAGTGCTCCGCTTTACAAACTGATGCCAAATTGTTTTCCAAGTGGCCGTGCCAACTCAGACGCCCCCCAGTGGCACGGGAGGGAGTCTGTTCTCCATCCTCTCCAGCACTTAGTGGGGTCCAAACTCTTACTGTTCTTTTTGCCAACCAAATACACGTACAAAGAGTATTTCTCTGTGGTCTTGATTCACACTTTCCCGATTACTAGTGACACTGAGCCTCCCTGTACTGCTGTCCTCGTCTGTGAGATGTTGGCTCAGTTTCCCCTTTTGGGTCATTTGTCTTTTCTTCTTGATGTGTAGAGCTTTATTTTTAAAAAGTTCATCTTTTGTCCATTATATGTGTCTTCTCCAGATTTGTGGCCTGTCTTCATTGATGTGTCTTTGATGATCTGAAGTTCTTGATTTTTTTTTAGTGATCCGTTCTTTTGTTTTATCTTAAGAAATGCTTCCCTATCCTGAGCTCGGAAGGATACGCACTTACATTTTCCTCAAACAATTCTACGTTTTTCTTTTGAAAGTTGAGCTCTTCACTAGCTGGGGTCGATTTTGCGTGTGGCTTCGAGGTAGGGATCTGTACCGGTTTGCCAGAGCTGCTGTCATGAAGTGCTGTAGACTGGGTGGCTTAAACAACAGAAATTTATTTTCTTACAGTCCTGGAGGCTAGAAGTCCAAGATCAAGGTGTCGACAGGCTGGTTTCTTCTGAGGGCTCTCTCCTTAGCTTGCAGACGGCCGCCTTCCCCGTGTGCTCAGGTGGTCTTCCTTCTGCGTGTCCGTGTCCTACTCTCCCCTTCTTAGAAGGACGCCAGTCAGAGCGGGTCCGGGCCCACCCTAGAGACCTCATTTTATTGTAGCTCACCTCTTTAAAGACCCTGTCCCCAAATGCAGTCACACTCTGAGGCACTGGGAGTTAGGACTTCCACATACGAATCTGAGGGGCACACGGCTCAGCCCACAGAGGCCCACTTGTATTTTCTCACGTGGAGAGCGACGTGCTTCCCGGGGCTCCGCCGCGCCTCCTCCAGTGTTGTCAGAGCTTCATCCACGGTGGTTCCTTATTGCATCTGCTCATCTTTCTGTACCCCCCTGTACCGACACCTCTCTGCCTTCACGGCCACCTCCGCAGCGTGACCGTCCGTCTGGCAGGGAAGGCCCTGCGGCTGATGGTCAACCCAGGGACACCACCCCAGGGCCTCCGAGTGGGCAGACCCAGGCTCGAACCCCAGCTCTGCCCCGGCTCGCTGGCTTCTCTCTGTCAGACCTGCGGCTTCTCTGGGCCTGTCTCATCCTTGTCATGGGGGGAGGGAGGTGACAGACCTGAGCCGCAGCCTACGAGAAGAGTCAGTAGGGTGACGTACAACACACATCTGGCAACAATCGCGGGCACTAACCCCAGCCTGACTCCCAGCGCTCCTGCCCTCTTGCCGGAGCTCAGCTCCAGGCCTCCCTCTGCGCCCCTGCCCCGGACTCTCGGCACAGAGAACCAGGTAGAGCAGGCTCAGGAAGACCCTGTCCAAGGCCAGGAGAGGCAGCGACCGGGACCCAGGGCCCACGCTGGGGGGCATGTTGTTCTCCGAGGCCAGACGCCTAGCATCTGGAGGCCAGAGGCACGAAGGGAACAAGAGCCTGAGTCAGGAGGCACTGGGGGTGCAGGCCAAAGGCTGGTGGGGGTCTGCAGCCCCCTCTCCTAGCCCCACTGAAGCAACGTCCAGTTGAAGAGGAACTGAGCAACAGCAGCTCTCGAGGACCTAGAGACAGCCTTGAGTGTCAGATCTGAGTTTACATCTCAGTTCAGCCATTTCTTTGCCTGGTGGCTTCAGGAAAGTCACTGAACCTGTCTCTGAGCCTCAATTTCTAAAACGGGGAATTGTAGCTCCCCGACAGGGATGTGCCGAGCCTGGGATGGTGTGACACACCAGCTGGCACACTGGGTTGTCCCCTTTCTCCCCTGAGAGATTTTGCAGGGGCCAGTGGGATCCCGCACCTGGCTAAATGGGGTGGGGGGTGGGGGCCTCTCTGCTCCGAGTCACCCCACTGGGAGGCTGAGTGGGTTGGGAGGTGCAAGGGACCGGCCCTGGGAACCAGCGACAAGCAGACCCTCTCCCACAGTTCAGCACCTACGTCATGGGGCGGATGGACACCTACTTTGAGGACCCGCTGACTTTCAACCCCGATCGCTTTGGCCCTGACGCGCCCAAGTAAGTCCCTCGGCGAGCTATCCGTGAGTGGGCCTGGTGGGAGAAAGATGACCACAGCAGCCTCTGGTCTGAGCCATTGTGCCCACTGAATCCACACAGCCTTCCAGCTCCCCACGAGGCGGTTGTGGAGGAAGTCGCAGCTCGGAGGGGTTAGGTAACTTGCCCAAGGACAGAGCTGGGGTCCGACCCCAGTTCAGTCCGGTCCTAAAGCCTGTGCGTAACCAGAGCCTTGTGCTGGGAAGCCACGTGACTGGCAAGTCACTTTGCCTCCCCCGGCCTTGAGGTTCCTGTCTGAGAAATGGGAATGCCAGTGGCTACATGTGGAGATCGCTGTGGGGGTCAATGCGGTAACGTCCCAAGGCCGTGTGGGAAGAGCTGGGCTCCCAGGACATGCCACGTGCGCTCAGATCCAGACTCTGCCCAGAGCTGGATGTAAGTGGCGTGTGAGCTGGGGCAAGCTGCTTTGGCTCTCTGAGCCTCGGTTCCTCCGTCTGTGAAGTGGGGGTAATCGCAGGAGAAAACGAGAGCATGCAGACCCAGAGCTCAGCAGAGGGAACTGCGATGTCTTTCGTGTGCAGAGCACCTAGCCCGGGCTCGAGCCAGCCACGGCAGAGGGAGGGCTTTGTCCCTGCCGACTGCCCTGTGAGGACCCTGCCAGCCCCAGGGCGGCCACTCCTGACCCTCTCTCCCCACAGGCCACGGTTCACCTACTTCCCCTTCTCCCTGGGCCATCGCTCCTGCATCGGGCAGCAGTTTGCTCAGGTGGGTTCTCCCGGTGTGACTGCAGGGTGGCGGCTTGTCCCGGGCCAGGAAGCATTTCTCAGCCCCTGCTCTGGGCCCGCTGGGCTGGGACTGGGGACGTGGCCCCAGCGTGCTTTGCTCTGGAGGTTGGCATTCACTCGTGCATTTCATCTCCTTCGTTCCTGCCTCCTTTCCTCGGCGTGGCGCTCGCTGCCGGCCCGTGCCCAGATGGAGGTGAAGGTGGTCATGGCCAAGCTGCTGCAGAGGCTCGAGTTCCGGCTGGTGCCCGGGCAGCGCTTCGGAATCCAGGAGCAGGCCACGCTCAAGCCGCTGGACCCCGTGCTCTGCACCCTGCGGCCCCGGGGCTGGCAGCCCGCGCCCCCACCGCCGCCCTGCTGAGGGCCCCAGGCAGGACGAGACTCCTTGGGCCAGGGCCGCGCCCGCCCTCCTCTCTGCCCCGTCCCCCAGCCACCCTCCACGCTGGCTCCCAGCGGGGCCCCTGCCAGCCGCCTGCTTCACGCCCCCAGCACTCCCTGTCGCCCGTGATTCCATGGCTCTTCCTGGACTGGCCCTTGCCTGACCCCCAGCCGCCAACATCGTCTCTCCCCCACCTCCAAACCTTCGCATAGGCCACCTCCTCTGACGAGACACCCTAACTCTTGCTCACTCCCTGAAGCCCTCTTCAGGTGTCACCTCCTCCAGGAAGCCCTCCCTGCCACCCCCGGCTGGGCCAGGGGCCCCTCCTCTGTGCTCCCTCAGTCACCTGTGCTACCTCTAACACCACACTGACCACACTGTATCGTGAGTGTCTGTTGATATGACCAACTGTCCTGCCTGGCCATGAGTGCCTCAAGGGCAGGGTCTGTGTGTGATTCGTCTCTGAGTTCCCTGTGCCCACCAGGGCCTGGCACAGAGTTGATGCTCAATAAATGTGTGTTGACTGCATGGATGAACGGTGGAACCAGGCCGTGGTGCTCTGGCCTCAGTTTGCTCATCTGTACAAGGGGGGGGAGATGTGGAGATTGGTCTCTCTAAGGGCTGGCACAGCTCTGGCAGCCGCCACCTCCAGATGCCCCTGCAGATGCCCAGACAATGCTACCTTGGGAGAAGACTGCCCCATGTTACCAGAAATGCGTGGCGTTGAAGCCTGTTCCCTGTGTTGCACACAAGGCCGTGCCCCTGGGTGCTGTGTGAGGTTGGGATCACAGGTGGGTGACTGGCATTGAGAGCTGGATTTGAGAGGTCAGAAAGGACCCCTGGCCTTTCTTGGGAGCAGCTTGGTGGAGCTGAGCACACGTGCCTGTCTCATGGCTCTGGGCACCTGCTGGCACCACACTGCCCCCTGACCCGGCCAGAGGCGGCCGATCGTGCCAGCCCCAGGTGGTGAGATCCTCATCGTGGTGGGTGGAAGAAGCCAGCCCTTCCTCCCCAATGCCTAGGGGTGGCCAAGGAGCAGTAAATACTAGGTGAATCACGTCCTCTGATCCCGCCCAAGGAAAAGGACCTGCACTGAGTTTCTCCTTCGGCACCTGGGAGCTTGTCTTTGCGCAGAGAGAAAAAACTGCCCTCACGCTCCGCCTGGGGTACATCACCCCACAAAGGTCCCTCTCCACACCAGGCGAGACGTGGATTTGTGCTGACCCCCGATGTACAGAGTCTCATTCGGTCCTTGCCGCAGCCTTGAACGACAGATCCAAGGGATCTTCCCATCGAGCAGATGAGGAAACTGAGGCACAGCAGAGGAAGTGACATGCTCAGTGCAGGTGGGGCTTGGCGTGGAGATGAGAATGGAGGAGACAAGTGTCTGAGTTCCCAGCCTGTCCCTCTTCCCAGCCAGGTGAGCTGTGGGGACCTGCACCAATGGTTTCGCCCCCACTTCTGGGTAGAGGGGTTTCCCCGGAGCTGCAGCGTCCTGCAGAGCGAGGGGCCTCATGCTTCCTTGGCACCGTGCCCAACCACCTGGCACCTGGCCCAGCCCTTATCCAGCTGCACCCTCCCCCTCCCCATTTCCATTTCCTTCCTGGGGACCCAGGACCCCCTGCCCACTGGGGGATGGTGCCCTTGGGCTCGCTCTGCAGCTTCGTGGCCAAGCCCACCCTTTTCTCTGCCCTGTCCAGAAGCAGCCCCTTCCATGGCCACCCCAAATGCCACTGTCTCTTGTCTTGTTCCCTCAGCCCTGCATTGTTCCCCAGCCTGCCCTGCTGTGACCCCTCCCTAGCCCGCTGTAGCCCTCCTCTGAGGTTCTCCAGCCCCCACCCCACAGTCCACCCTTTGCCCCCGCCATGGCTGGGCTAGTCCCACAGGACAGCACCTCCTTTATCATCCATCTAGAGAGGTCAGAGGCCACCAACCCTCAGCACTGCAGGCACAATGTGGCATTGTCTGGAGGGGTCTGGAGGGGTCAGCTCCCTCCGGAAACTTCAAGTTGCCAGCTTTCCATCCCCGATTGAGCAAGTGTCCACCCACTGCCGAGCCTGAGCCTTCACACCAGCATTCCTTCGATCCTCCCCAGAGATGGGTGCCAAACACGCACATGTCACAGATGCGGAGATCGAGGCTGTGGCCACAGCCAGGCCATAGTGGGGTCAGGACTGGAACCCATGGCCCTGTGCACGCAGTGCCCTTCCGCAGTTCAACATGCCCGTCACCGCAGGCCTGGGCTTGCCTTCCAAGCGCTGGGCACCCGAGGGCCAGACGAACAGATGCGTGGGAAGAGCAGAGCAGGGTCCCCCAGCCTCGCTCCTCTGTCACTGCCTGTGGGGCAGTGTACCCATCCTGACCTTCTGGAGCCACTTCCTCTTCCACAGAACGGGCCTTCTGTGAGACGCAGGTGGTTCTCAGTCCTGGCTGCATAGAGGAGTCACCTGGGCCAGGTGAGTCACTCTCCGGGGTGGGGCCCAGAAACTGTTTCCTCCTTAAGCCTCCCAGGAGACCCCAATGTGCACAGGCTGCAAGGTGACCCCTAGGGCCCAGGCGGGACAGATGGGATCAAACCCAAGGCTATGCAGCCAGACCGCCTGGGGTCAATTCCTGCCCCAACCTGTCACTGGCTATGGGACTTGGGCCTCAGTCTCCCCATCTGTAAGGGAGGACAAATAATAGAACGCACTTCCTAGTGTTGGCGGGGCAAGTAAGAGCGTCCACACGTGGAGCGCCAGTGGCACAGCCTAGGGCGTCTTGGCATCCTCGTGGTCACCTGCGAGGGCGGGCGGCCGTCCCCGGGCAAGGCGTGCAGTCTCCAGAAGCGCCGCACGGTGGCGCCCTGGCGCAGCGCTCCGACCGCTCGTCCGCGCGCCGCAGCGTCCCGAGGTCCGAGGGGGAGGGCGAGGGTGCGCGAGGCCCCCTGGGGGCGGGGTCAGGACGGGCGTCCACTGACCACTGGGTGGGGGTGGGCATCGCCGTCCCCATCTCACAGATGGAGCCACCGAGGGGCGGGGCGGTTGCCGGACTCGCACGGGGTCAGGCAGCTGGTGGGGACGCCGGCACGGCCACCTACCAGTGTGGGAGACGACGCCCGGAGGTGAGCCTGGGTCTGGCAGAGGCTCGCTGGCTGGCCGGACTCACCGGGAGGGGCGGCTTCCGCGAGAAGTGCACGAAGGGCGGCGGGGGCAGGCTGTGCTGCTGCCCGGAGCGGGGATGCCCTCGCCAGCGGGCTCTGGAGGCTCCAGGTCTCCTCCCTGCCCTGCCACTCCCTCCCGTGTGACCCTGCGAATCTGTCCCCTCCTCTGTAAACTCGGACACGATGACATGGGGAGGTTGCAGAGCTTTGGATCTGCACTCTCGCCCCAGAGGGACGCTTCCAGCTTGCACACCCCTGCCCGCCCCCGGCTCGTGCTTCCTCGCTGCTCTGACTCTGAAATGGCTCTTTAGGCCACCTCCCATCCCGGGTGTGACAAGGGCCCGAGGGCTGGCAGCTGACCCAGCTCTCTGGGTGGCTAGTAGCCCGGCTGGGTTGGGGGCTGACCTCAGGGGCCTTGGGCTGCCAAGTGAGGGGTGAGCGCCTTGGTCCACCCTGACCAGTGGGAGGTTTTCTTCCTCTAGCCTCCAAGTGTGGTGGCTGGAGCACCAGTGACAGCCAACAGGGTAGACAGAGGACCACATCTGGTGTCCCAGCAGTCAGCTGCCCACCTGGCAAGGTTCTGGATGGAGGCTTGGCAGGGAGCCTGAGCCAGCCCCCTGGTACTGCTGGCCTAGCGGCCACCGGATCCTTCACACGGGTCCTGAGTCACGCGGTCCATGACCCCCTGCAGCGGGTGACTGCTAACCCTGCCCGGACCTCACCCCTGGGCTCCAGACAGCCTCAGGCATCTCTGTCTGGATGTCCAGAAATAGCCCCCCCGGGGGGGGCTGCAGTCCACTGGGGGTATTTCTGGCAGGCGGCTGGGGACTTACTGCCGGCGGGCGGGGGGGGTGTCATTTCTCTGAGTCAGGGCCAGGGCTGGGGAGAGACGGAGTCAAGGCCCTGCCTTGGCCTGGAACTTTGAAAACACTAATTTCTTCCAGAGCACGGCCTCTCCCTGCACTTCCTTCTCGCTTGAGGAAACTGTAGTCACCGTCCTGGCGCTGCCCCCTCGGGCCGCCCCACTGGCTGAGTAGGCACACCCGGGCGAGGGCGAGGCTGCCAGTTCCTGGGGTGGCACTCCAAGGGGCAGGACCAGAAGGAGGAAGGCCAGCCATGGAGGGGGCTCCATGGTCTCAGGGCACAGGCCAGGCGGGGGCGGGGGTGAGCAGTGGCGACCACAGGACAGCCCTGGGCCTTTCACTCAGGCCAGGCCTGCCAGGCGGGGTGTGGAGGCTTCCAGCGTCTGTGCTGGAGGACGGGGCAACGGGCCCCCCTGCCGCCCCCACTCCCTGTCCTCCAGCTCTGGGAGGCAGAGAGGGACGATGACAGCAACCGTGCCAGGGCCCTTCAGTCCCCAGCCCCAGGGGAGGGCCTGTGTCCAAGCCCTTTGGGTGGCCCTGCGTGGAAGATGCTGGGTGAGGAAGAGCTGGCACCTGCGTGTGGCTGGCGGCCCTGAGCCAGCCTCACTGTAAACCCGGGCCCCAGCGCAGCCCGCGAGGCTCCAAGAGGCGGGGCCTGCCCAGCAGAGGGCCGGAGGGCAGAGGGGGGGCCTTACCGCTGCTAGGAGCCCAGGACCCTGAGCCTGGGAGGCCTCCCCACTAACCCTCTGCACCTCGTCCCCCCTCACCAAATGACAGTGGCTCCTTGGCATCCCCCTCAGAGACGAGAGCGTTGCTCCGAGGAAGCAGAAGCTGCGCACACCCTCACACCCCAGCACAGCCAGGGCAGCTGGATGGGCCTCTCGGGCCTGGCTGGGAGTCCAGAGGCCAGGAGGTTGCCCGAGGCCACCGGCGGCCGGCTTAGGGCTGCCTGGGAAGGACGAGGGGCCCGGGAGTGGGACACTAGCTCCCAGAGCTGCGCTGGCGTGTTTGAGCCCCATGTGTGTGAGCTGCGCGTGTGCACGTGTGTACTCCATGTCTCTCTGTGTCTCTCCATGTTCCTGTGTCTCCCTCC